GGGCGCGCGCGGCGCGACCTTAGGGTACCCCTAGGCTTAAAAGGGTGGGCCCTGGGGCGCGCGCCTGCGGCTTAAACGGCTTAAAACCGGCCTAGGCCGGTTTTAAGAGCTGCTGGGCCGCCGATTCCTTAAACGGTCTTAAACGCTTAAACGGTGCGGGAGAGCTCCCGAGGTCGATGGTCCGGGAGGCTCCCGGTAGACGCCGGAGGCCGGGAAGCTGGCTACAGTCAGCTGGCACGCGTCCCCTATGCGAGTATGGCTCCTGCCAGTGCACCAGACCTACAGATGTGTCTTCAGAGGCGGGTTTGTGCCTAATAAAGGCAGTATTGGATAAAACGGCGCGGAACCCAGCGACGCGTGCCGGTGAGGCCGATTTTCTTAAACAGACTTTAAAGAGGGACCCCCCGTGCCTGCAATCTCTTAAATGACAATTTGAGCCCCCAAACCTCCTCATTTCCTAAAAGGTCTTAAAACAATCCGGCCCTCAGAACCCTAGGGGTACCCTAAGGGCGCGACGGCGCCGGCGAGGGAAGGCGCGGGTGCAGCGGCCGCCGGCGGTCGTACCGCTCGCTGGCCAGCGCAGCAGCGGACAGCGCAGCGGCCGCCGGCGCAGCAGCCAGAGCAGCCGGTGCGCGCCTTGCGAGGCGAGTACTGCCGCCCGGCAGCCTCGTGAGGCGGCCAGGCGCGGCAGTACTCGTTCGAATGTTGCGAGCCGTGCGCGCGCCGAGGCGCCCGCGGCGCGCGCCCCTGCCAGTAGGAGGCGGCGCAATATGGCCATAGTACAGCCCTTGAGGAGGAGGAAGAGGCTGGCTGGCAGTGCTATATGCCGCCGAGGGGCAGTTTTGGGGTGCTGACCCACGCCCAGGGGGCTGCAGAACGCGTCCGCAACCGGGACAACCGCCCCCCCAGCCGAGGCCGGTCGAAGCCCCCTTGAGCACAGCCATGAGGAGTCCTCTTGGTGCTTCTGGCGGCCGTTCAAAGGTCGGGCGCGCGCCGATGGGGGGTGGGTGTATCTTGCTTGCTCCACACCGAGCGCCATCGGTCCGGACCGGCGTGCTCACCGAGGGTCGGCGTGCACAAGGTCTGAGCCGCGGGCGCTCGGCGCCAAGTGCAGTGTCACGCTCGCGCGCGCGAGCGGGTCACAATGGGAAACCCTCGTTTCCTATGAACTCGGTCCCCCAACGGAAGAGGCCTCGCTCCTATTGAAACACTCCAACATCAGATTTGCCTCGTGCGTCCCTTCGAAAGCTATTTTCTTTTGGGGGAGTTTTCTTGTAAGATTCTTTTGGGTCCTGTGGGCCCCTTATCATACTTAGTCGGCACCAGGCGCACGTCCCCGCAGCGCCACCAGCACCTGTGCCTGTAACCTGCGAACGCGCCGCATATGCGCAATCTCCGCGCATGTGCGGCACTCGCAAGCCTTTCACTCCTCGCAAGGGCCGAGGCCGACGCGGCCAGCTTCGGCCTCGCCTTCCTCGAGGCGAACGCAGAGGCAGAGGGCGTGGTAGTCCTGCCCTCGGGGCTGCAGTATCGTGCTCTGGCTCACGGCGGTGGGGAAACGTCACCTGCCGTCGACTCGCCCATCGAAGTTAGCTGGGAGGGCTTCACCGCGGCCGCCTTCAATGCGACACCTCGTGGCGCACCCTTCTACTCGACATACGCGGGTGATGGGCC